GGGGGGATGTGGGATGAAGGAGGAACGTGTGGTGGAGGAGGGAGGTGTGTGGGATGAAGGAGGAACGTGTGGGGGATGAGGGAGGTGTGTGGGGTGAAGGAGGAACGTGTGGTGGAGGAGGGAGGTGTGTGGGGGTGAAGGAGAAACGTGTGGGGGATGAGGGAGGTGTGTGGGAAGAAGGAGGAACGTGTGGTGGAGGAGGGAGGTTTGTGGGGTGAAGGAGGAACGTGTTGGGGAGGAGGGAGGTGTGTGGGATGAAGGAGGAACGTGTGGTGGAGGAGGGAGGTGTGTGGGGTGAAGGAGGAACGTGTGGTGGAGGAGGGAGGTGTGTGGGGTGAAGGAGAAACGTGTGGGGGATGAGGGAGGTGTGTGGGGTGAAGGAGGAACGTGTGGTGGAGGAGGGAGGTGTGTGGGGTGAAGGAGAAAACGTGTGGGGGATGAGGGAGGTGTGTGGGAAGAAGGAGGAACGTGTGGTGGAGGAGGGAGGTGTGTGGGGTGAAGGAGGAACCTGTGGGGGAGGAGGGAGATGTGTGGGATGAAGGAGGAACGTGTTGGGGAGGAGCGAGGATGTGTGGAGGGAAAGAAGGCTCTGAACTGTTATCTACTAACGTTATTATTTTTAACACATATTACATGTATCTACTGACGTATATGCATGTAAACCAAGCTAAGGTACAGGTGGGGATTGAACTCGCGGCGAGTGAGTCGCAAAACTCGTGTCATTGCAATTTCTGGAGTCGTTTCTGCATGTAGTTAGATATCTCATGACGTCCACATTTCTCTGCTTCCTCTTTCCTCTTTCTTCTGTATAAATTGACTCTTGTCGCCGCTCTGGGATGATGAAGATATCGTCATAAAATTGTAATTTCTCCTGTATACGAGATAGGCTAAAGCTCTCGCTTCACACGTCGAGGGTCTGGGTTCGATTCCCAGCGAGGGTAGTAACATTGGGCGTGTTTCTTTACACCGGTTGTCTATATTCACCCAACAGTAAACTTGGGTGTTAGTGGACCGGTGTGGGTCGCATCCTGGGACAAAACTGACTTAATTTGCCCGAAATGCTCTGCATAACAAGCGGCTTTCTATATAGTAGTATGTCATTGATGTCAGCTATGGTCTGTGTACCTTGTACATGTACTTGTAGTAAATAAAGATACTATTATTATTATTATTATTATTATTATTATTATTATTATTATTATTATTATTATTATTATTATTATTATTATTATTATTATTATTATTATTATTATTATTATTATATTATTATTATTATTATTATTATTATTTATTATTATTATTATTATTATTATTATTATTATTATTATTATTATTATTATTGTTATTATTATTATTATTATTATTATGCTGGAAGGAACCCTCAGAAGCTGGAGTGGGGGATAAGGAGAGAGGGGTTGGGGGAGGAGAGAGGTGTTTGGTAGGAGAGAACTGTGGAGGAGGAGTCAGGTATGGGAACTTTTTAAGTTTCTTTAAGATATACTTCCAGGAGAATAGGAATTGTCATTACTTGGGAGTGGCCTATCCTTTCCTATCCTTAGGATAACCTATCCTATGCTCGTCTAGTGGGGAAGTGGTGGAACAGTGAGTCTGGCCGACACAGGAGTATCGTATCGACGTGTCCCTTGTATATTTCAAAGCAAGGTTGTGATTAGCACGGAGCTGGGCACGTGAGTGTCCCGTAAGCGAGTGTCTGGGCGTGCGTGTTCGAGAGCGTGCGTGTTCGAGAGCGTGCGTGTTCGTAGACTTACCACATTCCTCCCTCAAGCAGTAACCTTGTATTGATTTACCTCAAGCCAGAAAAATGTCGTGTCTTTCTGTGACAGGTTGTCGTTCATCTTGAATACCTCCCCCGCAACCCCCCCATGCCCACGTACCCCCCACGACCCCGACCCCATCAGACCCTTCCATGACCTCCCATGGGTTATAGTTCCCATTCGCGTTACAGAAGATGACGTTGCTTACGAATTCGTTATTTACAAGGTTTGGAGTCACCATTCTCAGGGGTCGGGGTCACCATTCTCCGAACCTGGGGTCACCATTCTCAGAGCCTGGGGTCACCATTCTCAGAGCCTGGGATCACCATTTTCAGGGATCGGGGTCACCATTTACAGGGCTATGGTCCTCAAATAACAATAACAAATACCTAGGTCATTAAATACAGTCCTGGGGCCCATTATGTGCCTCTGTATTATTCTGACTACCGCCGCAGGATGGGTATGGGGTGCATAAATAAGATATTAAATTAAATAACGCCTTGGATAAGCCGGATACATGAGACCACAAGAAATTATGTTCATTAACCTATGAACAGCTGAGGAACGCCTAGTGTAGTAGTAATTTATGTATGTATTTTGCTATGTTATATGCAACATGTCATACTTGTTTATAATGTGCTGCATGTTGTGAAATAAAGCTTACTGAACTGCAGAGACGTTTCTCCAATCAGTGGCTTTATCAGTCCATTTCTGAGAATACTACTGGATACTAATCACTTCGAGGTGATCAGTCCTCAGCCAAACGAACACGTACTACCACTCTTCTCCTTATACGAGTATATTTGATGGCAGATTTAATAAACATTTTTTTCTTTTTTAAGGGGGGGAGGGGGGTTCATAAATGAAACAATACATTATATTCAAAACTGTGTAATTTTATGTCAGCTGGACTCACAAGTAAGAGAAGATTGAAATGAGCCGGGATCCGACCAGTGTACTCTGCCTGCCCACTGTAACGCGGTCAACAAAGTTATAGAACAGGCTTTTAATAGGACATCATATCGCTGTGTCGAGCTTTATCAAGTCAGTGTTTTGCTCTGTGCAGAGGTTTATCAAATCGTGCTGCGCTCTGTGCAGAGGGTTATCACAGTACTTCGCTATGTAGAGCTATATCACATAGCTTCACTCTGTGTATCCCTTTTATCGTCATGTTTCGTTCTGTGTAGAGCTTTATGAAGTCATATTTCCACTCTGTATAGAGCTTTATCGATGATCTGATAAAACGTGGTCCCGACAAAATCTTGTCCTGCAAAAGTGACTGTCTTGAAATTACACTTCAATCCCGAGGTCGCACATTTCTGTCCTTCCTAATGAGCAGTTGTCCCCCACAGCAGATATCTTTTCTTAATAGTTTGTCGTTTTTCTTTTAATGAACCATTTTCCTTTATAAGGGGTCCTTTTCCTTTATGAAAAAACCCTAATGAGGATAATAATGTGCCTATTCTTTCTTACATTGCCCTTTTCCTATTATGAAAAGCCTATTTCTTCCAATAAAGAGACCCATCCTTTAAAAAAAATTCTTTTTTTTTTTTAAGTTTCATAAGGGGCATTTTCTTTCATAAAGTTTCCTTTTCCCTTAACGCAGGGTCTTTTTCTGTCATATAGGGTGCCTTTCCTTCATGAAAAAATCCATATTAGCTCCATAAAGGGTCCTTTTCTTACATACAGCGGCCCTTTTTTTCTTCATTCCTTGTTTTATTTTTCGTGCTCCTCCTGAAACTGAAGAGTATTACAGCGTCCTAGAAAGCAGCGGGTCCTCCCAAGGTCCTTACAGAAACGGTGACGACGGGAACCACCAGCAGGAGGCAGCAAGCAAGGAACAGCAGGCCAAACATCAGAAAGAAAATCACAATGACTAGGACTAGTGTGTGTTTAAGGTCCTGCGAGGTCAACCCCTCGGAGAATAACGTGTGTCGAACTTGAGTCGCTTCCTATTTTGATAAAAGACTCTGTTGCCCCTGGGTGCATATGGGGAGAAAACTTCGGGGCGGGGTAAGAACATGAACCATTAGAGGACATTGTAGTGGGCGGAAGGGTGGAAGCATCGTCCCTCATCAAGCTATTCCTCTGCACCTCATCTAGTAGAACGTCAGCATTTTTACAGGTTTCTTCCGCTCCTTCACTACCACCAATAAGATTCGCTGTTATCCTTCCAAGTGATTCTGTGTGTTCTCCATAGCGACAGTCTCTTTGTGATGCTCCTGGCAAGGGATGATCATCTGAATTTGAGTTTGTCACCTGATCGCTGATGCTTTTCATTAATTCATAGTCTATATTCGGTTGTCTTTCCAGCGTTTTACGTCTTCTTACCCAGGCCTCGTGTGTCCTAACATGTGTCCTATTATCATATTCACTTCCAGTTCCATTTGCGACATCTCCCTCAGCTTCGTTATTTATATCCTCTGAGGTGTCCGTCAGCTCTCTGTCTATTACAGTCCACTTCATCTCCAACTGATGTTCTTCAGCCTCTTTCACTTCTAGCATCGAAGCTTTACGCATTACCTTAGTGCTTTTTTGGCTTTCTATCTCCTCATCTTTTTTTTCTTCCATTGTCGGTTTTTGTTGGTCTTCATCAGAACTGAGACTGACAGGCTTCAGAGATGCTGAAATAAAATCAACAGGGCCAGTACTTGCAGTTTGAGTAGGGCGATTCAGTAACCGTTTGAGGCAGCTGCACAGCATGGACACAATCAGTATTGCTGTGAAGACTTTTAGAATGCATAATTACCTCATCAGAGCTTGTGTCTAACTGTTGAGGGTACTTCAGGTGTGTTTGGAGTTCTACGAAATCTCCAGGGTGTGCCTGAGTACCATGAGCGTCCCCTGGGTATGTCAGGGGTGCGAAGGCATCTTCAGGATGTATTTGGTGTCCGACGGCTTTATCTTCAAAATCTGTTTGAGGTTCGAGGGCTTTACCAAGATCAATATGGCGTCCAAGAGCATCTTCAGAGCGTTTCTGAGAGCCAAGGGCTTTCCCATGGTGTACGTAAGTTCCACAGGCATCTCCAGAGAAGTCCATCTGGTATCTATGTGCATTTTCCGAATGCATTTGAGGTCCCAAGACGTCCCGGAGGACCTCCTGGTGCCCAAGAACTTTTCCAGGGTGCGTCTGACGGTCGAAAATGTCTTTCAGATCCTCCTGGTTTCCAAGGCGCGTTTGGAAAAAGGTGATATTTCCGGGAAGAGTATGGACGTGTTGGATGTATCTGTCGAGGCGATCCATCCTACTTTGACACTCAATGAGGGTGTGTGGCAGCTGTCGAAGCTTCGACAGCAAATCCTCTTTCTCACCCTCCACCAGCACCTTTCTACCCCCTCCAGCCTCATACTGCACCATTCCCATAGTCAATAATGTTTCACACATCTTGTCCTCATCCACTCACTGCTTTCACTTGGGAAAAACTGTTTGTGTTGAGGAGTTTGTCTCCCTACTAACAGACAGAGGCTCGAACCGCCGTTACTCCTGTCGGTGAATAATGCACAGTTCACCGTTTCATATAAATATAATAATTATCACAAACGCTCTTAAGATAGATTTTCTTTGGCCTCCCCGGCAGTTGCTTAATTTATTCGTCTCTCTTGTAGTACTGTCATATTGTCAAATTATTTCATTGATTTACTATCAACATAATTCATTCTTTAAACTACCTTCTATCAAGAGACTCTTTTCGAATCATTATCATCACAGTCTCTGCTGTTTATCATATAAAGTTTGTTGATGTCTTGTGCTTATTTCCCATTTGTTTATCAATATATTTACACAGTTCACTTGCTTGTGCGGCAGGAAATCCTTGTTTCACGTATCTTAGTCATGATATTCCTTATCTGTTCTTTTTGCTTTCATAGCGGGGATATGTATGCACTTTTTTATTCACACCGATTTTCATAATGCAAATTTTTCTCCTGATTGATTTTACACATATTCACTTTGTCGACAGTTTTTAAACTGTGTGCATTTTTTTTCAGTCATTGTTGCCTGCTTTGTTTTTGTGCCATTTTTAAATTCATTTTAGAACTATGTCTCTCAAAATGTCTTTGTTGTGTCTTCAGTTGTTTCAATAATTTTTTCCTTTAATTTCAACGCTCCGCGATGACAATCACTCATATCTGAAAAAAAGGAAAATATTTGTTTTAATTATGTATGTATGTGTATGGGTTGGATTCATGGCTGCAGAGTTACGGCGTATAGTAGAAGTTAGTAGGTATAGGAAGGTGGGTGCAGGAGGGAAGAAGAGCGATTATTGGAATGACGAGGCAAAGAGGGCGGTAAGGGAGAACAAGTTAGAGTTCGAATGGTTTTTACAATGCAGAAATGATATACGGAGGGAGGAGTATATGAAGAGTAAAAGAGAGGTTAAAAAAGTGCAAAGGGAGAGCTAAAGAGTAGAACCTTTATCAAAAAATTTTGGTGAGAATATATAATATATATATATATATATATATATATATATATATATATATATATATATATATATATATATATATATATATATATATATATATATATATATATATATATATACTATTTTTTTTTACCAATAGGAATATTTTATTACATAATATGGCACAGAAGATTTAAGAGATACATTGTTGATATAAAGGTGGCATATATATATATATATATATATATATATATATATATATATATATATATATATATATATATATATATATATATATATATATATATATATATATATATATATAATATACTATTTTTTTTTACCAATAGGAATATTTTATTACATAATATGGCACAGAAGATTTAAGAGATACATTGTTGATATAAAGGTGGCATATATATATATATATATATATATATATATATATATATATATATATATATACATGTTGTTACGTGTGTATCACCGATTATAAGGCGAAAATCTCATCCAGCTCCTCAGAGCTGGGGCGTGTACCCAAAATGCAGCATGCATTACCCCTTTGAACAGCCGCGCTGAGCCGCTGGAACAGAAAACTAGCTGCCCTGGGATCCCTAGTTACCCTGATGAGTCTTTTTCCCAGCTCCTTAAGGAAATTAGATGCACTCTTTCCCCATGAGCCAAGGGTCTCTGAGCCTATGGGAACAAACATATAATGATGGGCAAGTTCTCCATATTTTCTAGACTTTTGGGACTCCCTAAAGCTGGCAGCTGCCCCTCCTTCCTCCCTGGTGTATTGGAGATAGGTATTAGCCAAGGTAGATGCACATGTATAGTCCACACCACCTGCTTCCCATCTGTCCAGGCTTGAAGGGTGATACCATCTGGACGCTTCTGGCTGCCATCAGATCTGCATAGTTGGGGTGGCTCCCTTACTGCTGGGCATCCAGCTGTTGTGAGGCTCCTCTTGATAATGTTATTAACCTCCTCATGTCTTGCAATCTTTCCCTCGGATTTACGGCACACAAGACCATGGTACCCGAATCGGTCTGCTGCTTCACTGCCACAAATACACCTGTGTTCGGCGAGAATAGGGGCGGCAAGTCGAAGGGCAACACCGATGCGGATGGTCTGTGGGTCGAGGCGTGTGCCAAGGCTGGAGTTGGGAACAGCCAACAGAAAGTCCCCAGCATGAGGGGCTCTCACTGCCAGCAGGCGGGCTCTATCCTTCCCTGACACACTCTGAAGCATCGTTGAGGCTATATTTTCATATATATATATATATATATATATATATATATATATATATATATATATATATATATATATTATATATATACATATATATATATATATATATATATATATATATATATATATATATATATATATATATATATATATATATATATATATATATATATATAATATCACGGAAAGGTAATCCAGGTCTGCAGTTACATTACTTTGTTACATGTAGCAAAGTAGTGTTAAGTGTAGTAGCAAGGGAAGAGGGTTTTCCGTGGAGTAGATACCATGAAATCTCATATCTCAACCGGATATGAAGTACTACAAACCAGCGAGTCTCCCTCTTCTGTAACTGAGCTTTTATGGCTCTCTCCTTCATTCTCTATGGTATTTACGGATTTTACGCCGGATTCTTGATATAATAACAATCATTTATCCATGATGCGTGTAGAGAACTCTGAAGACAGACTTTCCAAATATTTGCATGGTTAAATCCTTCTAACCCCCTTCCCCCTATACTCCTTTCATGTCCATGGGGATATGGGTGAAAATTCTTCATCTGTAAGTCATGTGTGTCATAAAAAACGACTAAAATGCCTAGAACAAAGGGCTAATAACCTCTTCTGTATGAATCACTAACACGACAAAGGAGAAAATTTTAAAGGCGGATTATTTGAATGTTTATAAATGTAGTAAGATTGTGAAGACAGAAATGATTGTAGAAGTTATGAATGAATAAAGCTGTACGTCCTGCTCTAACAGAAACAAAACTGAAGGGCGCCAGCAGAATTTCACTGGGGAGGTGTAAATGAGATTAAGTCAGGTGCATCAGTTATGGAAAAGATATAGAATTATATGAGTGAGATGTGAGAAGTAAATAAGGGTATGTGTTTATACATTTGGGGAAGAGAGAAGTATAAAAGAGAGAGAGAGAGAGAGAGAGAGAGAGAGACTTTGGGAGGTGTTAAGTGAGTGTTTAGGGAGTTTTGAACCAAGGGAGAAAATAAATGTATGAGGGACATAAATGTTAAAGTAGGAGAAACTGTTGTAGAGGATGTGGTAGGTAAGTTTGGAGTGCCAGAGCAAGTGATAATGAAGGGGTAACAAATAATCACATCATTATTATGAGTAACAAGAAGAATGTCATCAGTGGGTATAAGAGAAGTGAAAGTTTGTAAATTAAAGGAGATAGAGCAAGATACAAGCAAATATTGAAAGAAATGTATGCAACAGAGAGTACAAGTAATAAGGAAGGGGTAGAGGAGGTATGGGTTACATTCAAGAAAGCAGAGTTACAGTGCACGCCAAAAGTTTCTGGGTGTAGGTGGGCGGGTACTGGAGGGTGGGTGTAGGAGGGTGGGTGTAGAAGGGTGGGTGTAGGAGGGTGGGTGTAGGAGGGTGGGTGTAGGAGGGTGGGTGTAGGTGGGCGGGTGCTGGAGGTGGGTGTAGGAGGGTGGGTGTAGAATGGGTGGGTGTAGGAGGGTGGGTTGTAGGAGGGTGGGTGTAGAATGGGTGGGTGTAGGAGGGTGGGTGTAGGAGGGTGGGTGTAGGTGGGCGGGTGCTGGAGGTGGGTGTAGGAGGGTGGGTGTAGAATGGGTGGGTGCTGGAGGGTGGGTGTAGGAGGGTGGGTGTAGAATGGGTGGGTGTAGGAGGGTGGGTGTAGGAGGGTGGGTGTAGGAGGGTGGGTGTAGGAGGGTTGGTGTAGGAATAGGGTGGAAAGATGGAGGGAGTATTTTGAGTTGTTGAATATTGATGAAAAGATGGTGGCAGTGATTTCTTGCACTTGACAGAGAGGTGTAGCACCTGTTATGTTACACACTCCTGGCTGTCTGAGCCCTGTTATACATATTCTTACAGTTATGTATGGATTCTGTTAGTTAGTTACCATTTTGTCCACGGCACATGTCGATTCGACACTAGGCCTGTTGTATATGAGTGCGTGTGCGTGTGTGTGTGTGTGTGTGTGTGTGTGTGTGTGTGTGTGTGTGTGTGTGTGTGTGTGTGTGTGTGTGTGTGTGTGTGTGTGTGTGTGTGTGTGTGTGTGTGTGTGTACTCACCTAATTGTACTCACCTAATTGTGGTTGCAGGGGTCGAGACTCAGCTCCTGGCCCCGCCTCTTCACTGATCGCTACTGGGTCCTCTCTCTCTCTGCTTCCTGAGCTTTGTCATACCTCTTCTTAAAACTATGTATGGTTCCTGCCTCCACTACTTCACTTGCTAGGCTATTCCACTTGCTGACAACTCTATGACTGAAGAAATACTTCCTAACGTCCCTGTGACTCGTCTGAGTCTTCAGCTTCCAGTTGTGACCCCTTGTCCCTGTGTCCCCTCTCTGGAACATCCTATCTCTGTCCACCTTGTCTATTCCCCGCAGTATCTTGTATGTCGTTATCATGTCTCCCCTGACCCTTCTGTCCTCCAGTGTCGTCAGTCCGATTTCCCTCAACCTTTCCTCGTACGACATTCCCCTGAGCTCTGGGACTAGCCTTGTTGCAAACCTTTGTACTTTCTACAACGTGTGTGTGTGTGTGTGTGTGTGTGTGTGTGTGTGTATACTCACCTAATTGTGGTTCCAGGGGTCGATACTCAGCTCCTGGCCCCGCCTCTTCACTGACCGCTACTAGGTCCCCCCTCTCCCTGCTCCATGAGCTTTATCATACCTAGTCTTAAAACTATGTATGGTTCCTGCCTCCACTACATCACTCGCCAGACTATTCCACTTCCTAACAATTCTTTGGCTGAAGAAATACTTCCTAACATCCCTTTGACTCATCTCAGTCTTCAACTTTTAATTGTGACCCCTTGTTTCTATGTGCCATCTCTGGAGCATCCTGTCTCTGTCCACCTTATCTATTCCTCGCAGTATTTTCTATGTCGTTATCATGTCACCCCAACTCTCCAGTCCTCCAGTGCCGTCAGGTCGATTTCCCTTAACCTTTCTTCGTAGGACATTACCCTTAGCTCTGGAACTAGCTTTGTTGCAAACCTTTGCACTTTCTTTAACTTCTTAACGTGCTTGACCAGGTGTGGGTTCCAAACAGGTGCTGCATACTCCAGTATGGGCCTGACGTACACTGTGTACAGTGTCTTGAACGATTTCTTACTGAGGCATCGGTTTGTGTGTACTCACCTAGTTGATTTTAGACTATAATTTACGAAGCGTTAAACCCTTGCGGACCATCCAGCTCAAGGCTAGGTGGAGGCTTGATCCTCCGTACACTAAATCCGTGTGGATCATTTATTTTAAGGCCGGTGAAACAAGAACCTTGAAAACATGAAATTACAAAAAATATATAATAGGCTTACAGACACCGTTGTTGAACAGCAGTGTTGAACAGCAGTGTTGAACAGCAGTGTTGAACAGCAGTGTTGAACAGCAGTGTTAAACAGCAGTGTTGAACAGCAGTGTTGAACAGCAGTGTTAAACAGCAGTGTTAAACAGCAGTGTTAAACAGCAGTGTTAAACAGGAGTGTTGAACAGCAGTGTTGAACAGCAGTGTTGAACAGGAGTGTTGAACAGCAGTGTTGAACAGCAACACCACCAATAATAAAAACAAAATTACAGATGTGTACAATATAGAGAGAGATGTCAGTGTTTGCAACACAAACAACTCAATTTTGAGAACACCTCGAATACATAAGAGTTTTCCCTGGTGTTCAGAGTTGAGTAGTGAAGATGAATGATGCTGTGAAAATGAATGGATGCTGAAAGACGAATGATGCTGTGAACACGAATGATGCTGTAACCTAGTTCAGCTATCAAAACTTTGGGGGCCCAGTCCCTGGACCCATTACGTACCTCTGTAATCTGTAAATACCTTTGTAACTTGTCATGATTGTGATCAGACTTACCTGGAGTTCATTACCTTTGTAAATTGTGAGTTCATTACCTTTGTAAATTGTGAGTTCATTACCTTTGTAAATTGTGAATTCATTACCTCTGTAACTTGCTCAGCTATCAAAACTTTGGAGTCCAGTCCCTGGACCAATTATGTACCTCTGTAATCTTTTGACTCAGGATGGGTATGGGGTGCATAATAAACATATTAAACTAACTAGATGAATGATGTTGTGAACACGAATGATGCTGTAAGATGAATGATGCTGTGAACACGAATGATGCTGTAAGATGAATGATGCTGTGAACACGAATGATGCTGTAAGATGAATGATGCTATGAACACGAATGATGCTGTAAGACGAATGATGCTGTGAACACGAATGATGCTGTAAGATGAATGATGCTATGAACACGAATGATGCTGTAAGACGAATGATGCTGTGAACACGAATGATGCTGTAAGATGAATGATGCTGTGAAGTGCACATTCACAACTTCAGCATCAGTACAGTGTTCACCAGCACAGCGTTAGTGTTCACCAGCACAGCGTTAGTGTTCACCAGCACAGCGCCAGTGTTCACCAGCACAACGCCAGTGTTCACCAGCACAGCGCCAGTGTTCACCAGCACAACGCCAGTGTTCACCAGCACAACGCCAGTATTCACCAGCACAACGCCAGTGTTTACCAACACAACGCCAGTGTTCACCAGCACAACGCCAGTGTTCACCAGCACAACGCCAGTGTTTACCAACACAACGCCAGTGTTCACCAGCACAACGCCAGTGTTTACCAGCACAACGCCAGTATTCACCAGCACAACGCCAGTGTTTACCAACACAACGCCAGTGTTCACCAGCACAACGCCAGTGTTCACCAGCACAACGCCAGTGTTTACCAACACAACGCCAGTGTTCACCGGCACAACGCCAGTGTTTACAAGCACAGCGACAGTGTTCACCAGCACAACGCCAGTGTTCACCAGCACAACGCCAGTGTTACCAACACAACGCCAGTGTTCACGCACCGCAGTGTTTACTCACAGCGACAGGTTCACCACACAACGCAGTTGTTTACCAAACAACGCCAGTGTTCACCAGCAAACGTCCAGTGTTACAGTAACGCAGTGTTAGCCAACCACGCCATGTTCACGCACAACGTCAGTGTTTACTAGCGCGACAGTGTACAGCACAACGCCAGTGTTCACCAGCATAACGCCAGAGTTCACAACACAACGCCAGTGGTTCACCGCACAGTGCACGTCTACTGACCAAGTTAAATAAAATGTTGAGAACTTACTAAGTTTGATATAAATAAGTTGTTAACATGTGATGGTGTTGCACGATGTGCCAGGTTCTTAGACTGGGAGAAGGAGCAGAGAGAATGTTAAGTATACCTCAAGCTTAAAAATATGAGGGGATATCGGGGCAGGATACTTATGAATGGAGAGAGCATTCACGCTTATGATTAAAAAGAGAGAAGAGAGAGAGAGAGAGAGAGAGAGAGAGAGAGAGAGAGAGAGAGAGAGAGAGAGATGGCAAGTAACATTTGCACCTGAGAAAACATAAATGATGATGATCTCTAGGCACCATGATAGTAATGCTGGTGCAGTAGTAAGGATGAATGGGAGGGTGTTGGCACCTGGAAAAGAAGTTGATATCCTTGGGGTGAAATTTGACTCCAAACTGACCATGAAGAACCACGTTGTAAATCTTGCAAACAAGGCAGCCAGGAAGCTTACAGAACTTCGCCGTATCTCGCATCTGCTTGACAGCAGGGGTTGCAAGATTTTGTACGAGGCACAAGTACGCTCACACCTTGAGTATGCCCCACTTTCTTGGTTCGCCTGCCCCCCTTTTCATCTGCGACTGATTGACAGAGTAGAGATAAAACAAGACGTCTCATCTCTCGCCTGGACCAATCCTGGATAGATCTGTCATTTCAGCAGAGCCTTCAACACAGGAGGGATGTGGGTGCCCTTACTGTTATGTACAAGGCCAATACCCTTCTCCAGAACATCACTTCATCTGAGATCATTTATTCCCAGGATGACTCGAGTATGGAACACATTCGTACAGCATTATGATGCCAAAGAGATGAAGTCAGTTGATCAGATGAAAATGCTGGCCCACAGATGGCTTCAACTTCATCCTGTTCCCTACTTGTATGTTTCATAACAATAAAAATGCTTTCAAATGAGCTGATGTAGGTAACAGCTCTTAGCTTGTCAATAAAGTAAGGAATCCTTAACCTGTAAATAGCTTGTCAATAAAGCTAGGGATCCTTAACCTAACCTTGTCAAATCCTATGTAAAAGTGAGAGAGAGAGAGAGAGAGAGAGAGAGAGAGAGAGAGAGAGAGAGAGAGAGAGAGAGAGAGACGTTGATATCCTTGGGTGAAATTTGACTCCAAACTGACCGCGAAGAACCACGTTGTAAATCTTGTAAACAAGTTAGTTTAATATGTTTATTATGCACCCCATACCCATCCTGTGGGCGGTAGTCAAAAGGTTACAGAGGTACATAATGGGTCCTGGGACTGAGCCCCAAAGTTTTGATAGCTGAACTAGTTACAAAGGTAATGAACTCCAGGTAGATCTGGTCACAGTCATGGCAAGTTACAAAGGTAATGAACTCCAGGTAGATCTGGTCACAATCATGGCAAGTTACAAAGGTAATGAATCATCCTCACTCCTCTACATGGTTAATCACAAACAAGGCAGCCAGGAAGCTTACAGCACTTCGACGTATCTCGCATATGCTTGATAGTAGGGGGTTGCAAGATTCTGTATGAGGTACAAGTACGCTCACACCTTGAGTATGCTCCACTTTCTTGATTTGCCTGCCTCTCATCTCATCTGCGACTGCTTGACAGAGCAGAGAACAGAGCAAGACGTCTCATCTCTCGCCTGGACCCATCCTGGATAGATCTGTCATTTCAGCAGAGCCTTCAACAAAGGAGGGATGATGGCGGCCTTACTGTGATGTACAAGGCCAACATTGTCAAAGTACCACACTTGACTCCACTGGTATAGTGGAGTCAAGTGTGGTATAGTGGTATAGAAGCAAGCTTCTATACCACAAGACGGGCAGAAAGCAGCAACTTCACTCTGGCTGTACCCTTCTCCAGAACATCACTTCATCTGAGATCATTTATCCCCAGGATGACTGAGTCTGGAACACATTCGTACAGCATTATGATGTCAATAAGATAAAGTCAGTTGATCAAATGAAAATGCTGGCCCACAGAAGGCTCCAACTTCGTCCTGTTCCCTACTTGCATGTCTCATAACAATAAAAATGCTTTCAAATGAGCTGATGTAGGTAACAGCTCTCAGCTTGTCAATAAAGTTAGGGAATCTTAACTTGTCAATAACTTGTCAATAAAGTTAGGGATCTGTAACCTAACCTTGTCAAACCCTGTATAAAAAAAGATATTATACCTTAATATGTTTTACACTAACTATAACTGTAAATACACTGAAAGATATATAGCTCCCAATGTATATACCCTTTGTGATACACTCCTCTCAGTGTGCACACCCTTGATAATACAGACATTTCTCGGTGTATATGAACTTAAAACTACAAATAACACTCACTATTCATTGCATACACACTTTGAGATACACACCTCTCAGTATATATACCCTTTGAGATATACACCTCTCAGTGTATCTACACTTGCAGACTGGGTTGTTGGGTGAGGTTGGAAGCCTTGTATTAAATATCTACTGGGGTTGCATCCCTCTACTAAGATTACAGGCATACAGTATGTCTTCACGTCCATCATACGCACAGTATAGCCTATAATATACATATTAAGCACACTAAGGATGATAAATCATTGACTCACTGGTGTAGAGGCGAAGTTAAGGCTGTGTCGAGGTGTATGTATGTCTATATGTGTGTGTGTGTGTGTGTGTGTGGTTTTGTAGCACAGAGACACTGGTGCGGGTAACCTGCTCTTCATCCTGGCCTCACACTCACTGCCACTGTCTCCACTCACTTTTTCACGCTTCCTGCTCGCTTTGTGTGTGTGCAGTGTACTCACCTATTTGTGGTTGCAGGGGTCGAGTCCTAGCTCCTGGCCCCGCCTCTTCACCGGTTGCTACTAGGCCCTCTCTCTCCCCGCTCCATGAGCTTTATCAAACCTCGTCTTAAAACTGTGTGCGTGTGTGTGTGTGTGTGTGTGTGTGTGTGTTCTCACCTATTTGTACTCACCTATTTGTGGTTGCAGGGGTCGATTCACAGCTCCTGGCCCCGCCTCTTCGCTGATTGCTACTAGGTCCTCTCTCTCCCTGCCCCATGACCTCTATCATACCTCGCCTTAAAACTATGTATGGTTCCCGCCTCCACTACGTCACTTTCTAGGCTATTCCACGGCCTGACTACTCTATGACTGAAGAAATACTTCCTAACATCCCTTTGATTCATCTGAGTCTTCAACTTCAAATTGTGACCTCTTGTGTCTGTGTCCCTTCTCTGGAACATCCGGTCTTTGTCCACCTTGTCTATTCCGCGCAGTATTTTATATGTCGTTATCATGTCTCCCCTGACCCTCCTGTCCTCCAGTGTCGTCAGGCCGATTTCCCTCAACCTTTCTTCGTAGGACAATCCCCGTAGCTCTGGGACTAGTCTTGTTGCAAACCTTTGCACTTTCTCTAATTTCTTGACGTAATTGACTAGGTGTGGGTTCCAAACTGGTGCTGCATACTCCAGTATGGGCCTGACGCAAATGGTATACAGTAGTCTTAAACGAATCCTTATGAGGTATCGGTACGCTATCCGTAGGTTTGCCAGGCGCCCGTATGCTGCAGCAGTTATCTGATTTATGTGCGCCTCAGGAGATATGCTCGGTGTTATACTCACCCCCAGATCTTTTTCCTTGAGTGAGGTTTGCAGTCTTTGGCCATCTAAACTATATTGTGTCTGCGGTCTTCTTTGCCCTTCCCAATCTTCATGACTTTGCATTTGGCAGGGTTAAAACTCAAGGAGCCAGTTCTGGACCAGGCTTGTAGCCTGTCCAGGTCTCTTTGTAGTCCTGCCTGATCCTCATCCGATTTGATTCTTCTCATTAACTTCACATCATCTGCAAACAAGGACACTTCTGAGTCTATCCCTTCCGTTATGTCGTTCACATATACCAAGAAACAGCACAGGTCCTAGGACTGACCCCTGTGGAACCCCGCTTGTCACAAGCGCCCACTCTGACACTCGCCGTACCATGACTCGTTGTTGCCTCCCTGTCAGGTATTCTCTGATCCATTGCAGTGCCTTTCCTGTTATGTGTGCCTGATCTTCTAGCTTTTTCAGTAACCTCTTGTGAGGAACTGTGTCGAAGGCCTTTTTGCAGTCCAAAAAAATGCAGTCGATCCACCCCTCTTCTCTCTTGTCTTACTTCTGTCACCTTGTCATAAAACTCTAGTAGGTTTGTGACACAGGATTTTCCTTCCCTGAAACCATGCTGGTTGTCAATTATACACTTGTTTCTTTCCAGGTGCTCCACCACTCTCCTCCTGATGATCTTCTCCATGACCTTGCATACTATACACGTTAGTGATACAGGTCTGTAGTTTAGTCACCTCAGTTACTGGTAGCTTTCGTCACAATTTTTCGGGCTCTGGTAAAACATTTTCCAGTTTGTTTGGCACTTTCAACAGTGACACCTGCGGCACTCCGGCCGTCTCATATCCAGGATCAGTGACACTGTCACACTGGATATTTATTTATTTATTTATTTATTTATTTATTTATTTATTTATTTATTTATTTATTTATTTGAACATGATACAGAGAAGTAAAAAAGGAATACAGTAAAGTGCAGCATGCCAAAGCCCCTTGTATGAATAACATCACGGGCTGGCTTAAAATTAACTTAAGATTAACTAAGCAATGATATATTCAGTGGTAAAACATTATTGTAAACATAACAATTAAGCACAAATGAGTATTACAAAGACAGGTCATATGGTCATTTACTGTGTTGCTGTGCAATCAGTAGAGTGGAGTATTCTGTTAGGTAATGTAATTAAAAAATAACAAAGTTTGATTGAGTCTAAGGTTAAGCATTTCTGAGGTACAATTATGAGAAACATTTATGAGATACAATTTATAAGATAAAATTATTCAGTATTTATTTGGTTGTGGGTGATAAGTGATTTTGAGAAGAGACTTGAATTTATAAAAAAGTGTTTCTTTTATATTTACAGGTAATGAATTCCAGATTTTAGGGCCTTTTATGTGCATTGAGTTTTTGCATAGTGTGAGATTTGGGCACGAGGAACCCTTTAAAGAGTGATTGTGCCTTGTGGGTTATGGTCATGTGTTCTGTTGAGGTTGGTAAGGAGACGTTTGAGGGGAGGGTTTATATCCGACTTAAGTGTTCTATGTATGTTGTAGGTGCAGTAATAAGTATGGATGTTTTGTATGGTGAGTAGGTTTAGAGTTTTGAATATTGGTGGAGTGTGCTGCCTGTAGTGGGAATTTGTTATCATTCTGACTGCAGAATGATGCCGACAAGTGGTGGAGAAAGACAAAATACAATCACGAAGATATGTTTACTGGAAACGTTTCGGTCCTGGGAGCTTGGTCTTCTTCCACTATTATCACACTGGACAAGAAACTCACCACTTTGAACGTTGTTCCTCAACTCTCCCATGGACCAAACTGTTGCCATCCTTCTGTGATACCAAAGAACTCATTGACTTCATTGAGTCGTACGTAAACTACAGATGTTTCTCAGGTAACCAGCTTTGCAAGAAGCAAACATCCAGATATGATCATAGGGTCCCTAATTAACGCGGTCCTCGTGAATCTTTTCATGAGATTCTTTGAGGCCAAAGACTGTGTCCTTCATTGTGTCGTCTGAGCGACTTGTTTGTTGTGCACACGATGGTCATTTTCTGAGCGGTAGCACAAAAGAGCAGGATTACTGTGGTTATTTAATAAAATTACTTTTCTGGGTTTATGTCTTTGTTTTGCAACTTGTCGTTATTTTAATCTCTTATTCTCAGCTTGTCCAGACATTGAGCCTACTGTGTTAATTAGCTACTTAAATGCTAGACACAAAAAGTTGAGTGATTCCAGCACAAATATCAATGTAAGACGATTATTTTCAATTTAAGAAGCATATGATGATGTCCAGATTATTTATAAAAATCAGCCAACACACATCTACGAGGGAATTCTTGATAGATACACAAGCTTTCATCTGTCATATACATGTTACCACTACATATCAGGGAGAGCTTAGAAAGAAAGTCCAATGATAGACGTAATCATATCCTGTTTATATTAAACAAACAACAGGATGAGTGTGATATCCTATATACCGAATATAAACTAGATGCTGTCCTCACTCGTGACAAAGTCAGTCCCTGGGGAAGACTGTATCACCCATGACATCACTAGATTACTGAGACATATTAGATCTGTACAGTATGAGTTATTGTTTGGATCATTTACCTTCCTCGTCGACCAATAATATTATTATGCCAGTTCCCAAACCTAATCAACAATGTGTTGCAGCTCATCTCGCTAACTGGCTGAACTACACGTTTAAAGGGAAGGTCCTAAACAGATTACTATACAGAATTATAGAGTACATGTCACCCTATATTAATGGATTCACACATGACAAAGGTGTACAAGATTGTCTCGCAACATTTTTAACTGTACATGGGGACGCAAGGCACAAATACACCATTTTCTCGATTTTAAAAACGTTTTCAATGCTCCAAATAGATAAGTAATTTTGTATGAACTAGATAACATAAGGCTGGAGGTGGACTTTTACAGTGGTTACTTGGGTATCTCACTAACATAACTCAGTTGCATTGTTTCAGGGATATAAAATGCAACTTGGCACTCTTTGGGGTCCAGTCCCTGGACCCATTATGTACCTCTGTAATCTTTTGACTACCGCCCACAGGATGGGTATGGGGTGCATAATAAACATATTAAACTAGCACTCACCAAGGCGGTGTATTAAGCCCTACACTGTTTAATGTATTACTCAGTGCCTTGCTTAAATCTACACCAGATACACCCAGCAGTATTACAATTAGCTATGCTGATGATATTCTTGTGCATACTAAAACGCATCGTGAAGTTAGGTTAGGTTAGGTAAGGTTCGTCAGGAAACAGGACAAATGTTTCCTAACGTGGGTCTTAGTCAGATGATGACCCGCCTTTGGAGCTTTTGGTCATCTGACCGAGGCCTTCCGCTGGCTTACCGGTCCACCCCTTTAAAAATTATGGTCATGTAGAACCATTTTTGTAGTAATCTATAAGGAAGTGTAAACAACACTAAATCGTATACAGACAGTGTGATAATCGTGGACTTAAAATTTCTGCAGAAAAGACCAGTGTTTAACAGACACAATAAGTACCGTAAAAGCGAAGAACCAAAATTAAAGGTCAATATCCATCATAATGAAATGAATCAGATTAAATATATCTCTGAGGAAAGTAACTAAGGTCATTAAATTAGAAGATACTGTTACTGCTGGACTAACGCTAGTCTGTATCTCTGGCAGTTTGGTTTGTATGGAGATGTCAATAACAAAATGCAAAGTGTTTACCTGGAGTTTACCTGGAGAGAGTTCCGGGGGTCAGCGCCCCCGCGGCTCGGTCTGTGACCAGGCCTCATGGCCGGAATTTGTTTTGTACTCTGATGTTTTAATTTCCTCGTGTTTACCATATCGGAGTAATTTAAATTTCTCATCGTTGAACTTCATATTGTTTTCTGCAGCCCACTGAAAGATTTGGTTGATGTCCGCCTGGAGCCTTGCAGTGTCTGCAATGGAAGACACTGTCATGCAGATTCGGGTGTCATCTGCAAAGGAAGACACGGTGCTGTGGCTGACATCCTTGTCTATGTCGGATATGAGGATGAGGAACAAGATGGGAGCGAGTACTGTGCGTTGTGGAACAGAGCTTTTCACCGTAGCCGCCTCGGACTTTACTCTGTTGACTACTACTCTTTG